CAAATCATTTTAAGTTTATTCTGAAAATTTCGAAATTTTAAGATTTTTCCGAATGGAGATCTAAAGCTTCAAAATATTGATTTTTTAATTTATATAGGAATTATATATAAATTTGAAATCAATTTTAAATCTTCAATAACTTTTTAATCAAAACGATTAAAAATAAACTATAAAATTCTTATCATAAATTTTCACTATTTATAATATAGAAAATTAAAAAAAATAGAAATCTTTTAATTAATAAGTACTTATAAAAATACTTTAGAAATTACAAAGATTATTTTTCCTTATTGAAGTTTTATTTTAATATTTATTAACTTTTTATTGATTTTTATATAGATTCAAATTCAAAACTTTTAAAAAATTAATGAGGTTCTTTTTATCAATTATAATTAAAAAGTTATTGAAGATTTAAAATTGATTTCAATTTTATATATAATTCTTATACAACTTAAAAAATCGATATTTTGAAGTTTTAAATCTTTATTTAAAAAAATCTTCAAAATCTAAAATTTTCAATATAGATCTAAAACAATTTGAATTATATATATATAAGTTTACAATTAATTATGTTGTATTTTGATAAAGATGTTAATAAGCTAAAAAAGCACTTTTTAGTATAAAAGAGTGGCCTAAAACAGGGATAATAAGAAAGTTGAGTACTCAACTTATATCATCAAATATACTACTTTTATCTTAATTTATACTATCAATCTTATATTATTCAATAATAATTAAATCAATTAATCAATTAAAATTATCAAAATCTAAAAATTTACAATGTATTATAATGTTTTGACAAGTTTTTATATTATATTCTATCTTTTCATATTTATTATAGTATTAATTAGAAAATATTTCCTTATTAAAATTCCCTTCTTTTTAATATTCGTTATATTAATTAAATCTGAATATTGATTTTTATTACAATAATATAACAAAAGTTTCTTATTCAATAAATATTCCTTTTCAATATGATTAAGTTTCTTATATATATTAATATTTATTTAATACTTTATTTACTATTCGAAGTATAAAATTGTTTATATTTAAAAACATATTCTTATTAACTAATTGCTTTATATTTTTAATTAAAATTAGTATAATTTTGAATATAAATATAAAGAAGTTTAATTGATAATAAATAATTCGAGATTGAATTAATATTAATCAAGAAAGGGTTTCGATTAAATTTTAAGGAGTTTAAGAAATTCATTAATTTAGATTGAAAAAAAAAGAATAGATATACAAATTCCAATATTTGATTTCAAGATTAAATAGAATTAAATCTATTTCTTAAAACCTTAATTTTGTATTTTAAAAAGTAACTGATTTTTTCATATACAACTTTAAAAACTATAAAGAATTTAATTTTCAAAATATAATTAATATATACCTTTATAAATTCATTAATATAATTACTATATGAACATTTTAGATTATCAAAATAATTAATATTAAATAGTTAAATTAAATAATTTGAATATAATAATAAATATAGGTATGTAATATTATTATTTATAGTATATTTGAAAAACTATTAATTTGTAACGTTTATATTCATTTAGTATTAACATTCGATTATTCTTTCCATTTATAATATATCTATTAAAGTATTTTAATTAATCTAAATCTATTTTATTATTTGTTTATTTATTAAATATAGTTTTAATAATTTGTTTTATAACACGATTTTTTTAATATATTAATTAAAGAGATAAATCTATTCTTAAACTAATAAAAATAAGTAAATGATTTTATTCTTTTTATTTTGATATATTATTACTATAGTTTATTCTTAAATATTTAATTACATTAATTTATTTCTATTATATTTCTTAATATTAATAAAAATAATTATTATATATATAATTCTTATTATAAATCGGGTACCCTACTTTCGGGCCACCCTTCTTTTAAGCCACTTTTTATATCAAAAATGGAATTTTTAATTCTTTTATTTATAAACAGAATTCATTGAGAATTTGTATATATATAATTCAGATTGTTTTAAATCTAATTCGAAATTTTTAGATTTTTAGGATTTTTCTGTATTGAAATCTAAAGCTTTAAAATATCGATTTTTAAATTTGTATAGGAATTATATATAAATTTAAAACTTTATAAAATCTTTAATAACCTTTTAATAAAAATTGTTAAAAATAAATTAAAAAGTTTTATTATGAATTTATAATATATTTATTTTGAAAGAATAAGAAAAAATAAAAAACCTCTTATAAATAGATGTTTAAAAAAAATACTCTCAAAATTACAGGGATTATTTATACTATTCCAAACTCATTATATACTGTATCTTTATATTTATATATATATATATATTTTTTTTTTTGAATTTCTATATAGATTTAAGCTCAAAACTTTCAAAAAAATATACAGTTTTCTTTTAATAATTGTTGTTAAAAAGTTCTAAATTTGTATGTAATTCTTATATAAATTAAAAAATCGATATTTTAAAGCTCTAGATCTCAATATAGAAAAATTCTAAAAATCTAAAAATTCTAGATCAGATTCAAAACGATTTGAATTATAGTAGTAATAGTAAATTTATAATCGATTCGATCTATATAGCTATACTAAAACTATACGATATATCTATATCTATATTTAATTGAATAAAGTAAATAGAAAAAAGATATAAAAACCTATTCCTTTTTAATATTCTATTAAATCGTTTATATTATATATTTATTCTATTTAATATTTATAATTTATAATATTTATACTTTTGAAAACGATATTATTATAATTACTTTATTTTCATTTTATAAGTTAATAATATGTAGTCTATTTTCATTCAATATAATAATATAGATTTCCTTTCTTCTTTTTTGTAATATAATAATTTTTATTATTATTAATATTATTATTATTATAATAATATAACCCTACAATTATTTACCTCTACTCTATAACAATTATATTTCTTTATTTACTTTTTATCTTCCTTATTCTTTTCCTTTTTATTTATTTCATTTAATCTTTTATTTATCATTTTTTTATCCTTTATAATAAAATATAAATTCTTTCATATTCCCTTAAATATTTTATTATACTTTATTCTATATCTACCCTATTATCTCTTTATCTCTATCAACTCAAACCTTAATCTATTATTCTCAAAATAATACTTTTTCAAAATATCTTTCAAAAAGAGAGTAAATACTCAAAGGTTTTTTCCCTATTCTTATTCTATTATACATCCATTTCGTAGCTATTATATTAAATACCTATATCAACTTACTTATAATCCTGTTATAATCTATATTCATACTTATAGAAAGTATCCCTGTTATTATATTAGAAAAGGTATATACTATAATATAAATATTTTATCTCTAGATCTTAACTTTAAAAGTGTTATAGGAGCTGCCTTTAGGGTCACGTAGAAGTGGCTAGAGATCTCTTGAAATGGTTTAGATTAGATTTCAAATAGGAATTCAATAAGATTAATAACTAATTATAATTCTTATAATTATAGTAATGAAACTAATGATTATTCTTGAGCATAAAGCTCTATATTATAATGAAACCTATTCCTTTATATAGACCTTTTTATTTAATGTAATTAGTATAGCTCAGTACTAGTTTGTTTGTACTTTTATAGCTCAGTGTCTATCTCGCTGAGGTAGACTGAGCCAACCATGTAACTTAGTGCTCAGTCCTGTGCCTATGTTGCGTTGTTCGTAACAAAAAGTTCTCAATTAATAAAACATTTGTTGGTGTAAATTCTTATAGATTATATGAATATTATAGTAACTGCCTTATATACTACTACCGCCTATAAGGAGGGTGCGCAGAGGGTTGTAGGTGATCCTAGTGTTTATGATGACGATTAGAACCTATTTGAATTATATATATACAAATTTTCAATGAATTCTATCTATTAATAAGAAAGTTAAATATTCCATTTTTTAAGATTTTTGATAATAAAGAGTGGCTCAAAACAGGGGTGGCCTGAAAGTAGAGTACTCGACTTAAAGCTTGTTTTATTAAAATTATAAAAATCATTATTCAAAATATTATATTTGACTTATATATCTATAATTAATTAAAATCACTTTTTAATAAATTGAAAATCTTTATAAAAAACTTTTGAAAAGTTATAAATATAGCCAAAATATATTTTTAATTCAATTCAATATTTTATAAATTGATATACTTAAAGCTTTTTAATATTCTTTATATCTTTAAATTTAAGGATATAATTCTTTATATCTTTTATATTTTTTTAATTTAAATAAAAATCATTTTAATTCTATATTAAATATATATTAAACAATCATTTCTTCTTCTAATTCTATATTTTTATGATTATTTACTTGAATTTGTATACAAAGAAATAAACCTTTTATTTTGTAAGAAAAATATTATATATATTATATTATATAGTTTACTAGTATTTCAAATATTAAGCTTTTTATTTTTTTGAATAGTTTCAATAATTAAAAGTGTTTGAGCTGTTTTTAGTTGATTATATAATAAATGATTGATAAGTTTTGTGTTAAAGTTGAAAAGTATAAATTGAAATAAAAGTGGTGTATTTGGTGATATGGTGTACTTAATATTAAACTATACTAATTGAAAATAAATTTATTCCATTACTTCTCTTTAGTCGATAATTCTTTTCTTCAAATATTGTTAGTGGCCCATTCTAGATTTGCCTTGAATATACTCACTCTCCGTAGGACTTTTTGGCTTTTGATTGTTTAAATATTGACACGGAAGTCTTATTTTGAGGCTTTTTTTATCACACCTATGTTCAAGAAAATTGCAATCGGCCTTTTGATATCATTTGGTAACCATAAAAATAACCACCGGCTCTAGCGCGTCACCTTTCGCTGATGTTAGATTTCCTCGTCACTGCATCAGTTCCCCCACTGACCAACTAGCCAGACAGTCTATCCCAGACCGAACTCAAAGATAGTATGCAGTCGTCAATTCTCCTTTACCCGCAACAAAAACAAGGTTCAATCTTCAGGTCAAGCCCCGCTTGGACGAGGATAGCCTAGCACAGATCGAATCCATGGTGTACTTCCCCATTCACCCCCTGCGCGGGAAAACCGCCTGACCGCACCAACTTCTAGGTCCCTCTCCTGCACCAATACTAAAGGTAGGCCATGAAGCTCCAGATAAGCCTGACACCAATAAATATTCCAGAACCTCTTGAAGTTGTCGGTCCGGCGTTGAGCGTCTTCATTCAGTGCATAAGACTTCATGGACAAAGACAGATCACTGCACATTTTGGTGCCAATAGTCCTATAACCAGCAAGGTATCCAGACATACCAATATGTAGTTCATCTGTTTCTCTAGTGCAATTTGTAGATAGCAGATGTGTCAAATTTGGCATTTTCTCGACGAATTTGTTGCAGAGATCTGGGCATGGTCTCGGATGAGGGCCAAAAATTGATTTGACCAGTCCGGGTATCATAGCAATTGCGTCAAGCTTTTCAAGGTTCTGAGTGCTATTGATAAAACTCTCAAACCTTTCAGCGGGCACCCTTGGAGGTCGGGTTCTGTCGAAGAGATTGGTCAATAAGATAGGTATATCAAATCTGAATCTAAAATAAATACGACCGTTTTCGTTCGTGGTACCGAAAGATAATGAATAGAATCTCAAGGCTTCAGTTCTCGAGATACTATACACGTGTAGGGCTATTGGAATTGAACTGGTACTTTGACAAACCTGGGTGGTATCATCATATGTTATGGGGATGACCCTTGGATCAGGTAGTGTATGTATCCAGATCTTTCGCTGGATCTCAAGGGGAAATCTCGAATACTGAGGAAAGCCCTGTTGTTCGAGTTTATAATTGACAAGCATGTCTTTGAGGTGTTTTTCAGCCGAAGAGAAGCTTGATAATCTACCGTCAAAGAAAGTGGTAAAGGTGAGGTTAAAGGTGGCAGAAAAATCTGTCGAAGTTATTCTTGGGTTGAGCAATGTCTGCAGTGGTGATCTCGGAGCCATATTGAGTATTTGTGGGAGTTCTATTCAACACTTAAATAACAATGCATCAAAAGCAAATGTAGAGGGGCGTTTAAGTACTTTTGTAGGAGTACTTTTCTCTGACTTGCTGTAGTCAAATGCTTTCAATAGATATGGTAACATGTGAGGGAGAAATACCTGTTAGGGTTAGAGTTGAATAGAAAGGTCAAGAAAATGCTACTTACTCTTCCAGGAGTATCTTTCTTTGACCTGCTGTAGTAGGAGTTATTCGATAGTATCCATGTTCATTAAATTTTACAGTACATGGCATACTGTCCGAGTTGTTACTGGGCGCCTCAAGGTAAAAGCAAGTACTGAATTCGCAATAACTAAGAATAAGATAATTCTAGATTGTTGCTGACAATGGAAAGGTTCTGGTAGCTGTTAATTTTCAAAATTCTAGACACCACTAGAAGCTTAACGGAGAAGAATTAATAAACTCAGGAAATTCGGAACTCTCATGGTCACAACCATATATCGCCCAAGTGAATATTGCAGTTCGTGTGATTCAATATTGGGTATCTGCATGTTGGATGGAACTTCAGCACATGTTTCTGCGTAGAGAGTCATCCCTTTATTCTGGTTTAGTTGTATGGGAGAGTCTGTCGATCAAGTTGTGACTTTAACTTAGTCTGGTCCTAGCTGCGTGATATTGTGCTGTTCGGTGTTTACTGGGAAGATGAAGAATGGAAGTGTCTGGACTTGGTTGATAGCACAGAAATTTCGGGAGATATTGTATCAAATGCCGCAAGAGAAGACAGTGATATAGTGAAATAATTTAACGAAAGTTCACTAGGTATACATCGGATGATATAAACCTGGGAACCTTCTCGAATTCTCATCTGATGTGAAGAGGAGTAAAGAATAGAAAGACAAAGGTGAGTATTTATCAATTCAAAGAGTTAGGGTTAGGGTTATAATATACCGAAGCATCAATTGGTCAGTAAGCTGCATCATCTCCATTTCTATTTACCTGCATCAATCCACAGTCATTGTGCTTTCAATCAGATGGGCTCTCATGTATGGAACGTGAAAGGTTTAAGTGAATAACGTAAGTCATGGCGTAATGCGTCTAATTGTGGGGGACCACCCCATCAAAAAAGCAACAATTCAACAATGGTCCGTCGAAAAAGTTTAAAAGTGCAGGAAATGGAATCTCGACTTTCTGAAGCAGTATTAGGAGTTCAAAATGGAAAGTATAAGTCTTCATATGAAGCTGCAAAAGAACTGGGGCTTTCTAAAGATACTGTGACGCGACGCGTCAAAGAGGGTTCATCGCGTTCTGAAGCACGTCAATCGCAACAGAAACTTTCTGCTGTACAAGAGAATGTACTTCTTAAGTGGATAAAGCAATTGACAATTAGTGGCTATTCACCAGGCCATTAGTTGTTAAAAGAATTGGTTGAGGAGTTACGTTCAAAACGGACTTATAATTTGGATTGCCTCTCATTTGACTCCCTTGAACTCCCACCACAACACCTTCTTGGTCATAAATGGGTTCCACGATTTATCAAACGACATCCTCATCTTACAGTTGTTATTGGCCGTCGAATTGAATCTGTAAGAATGGATGGTGCAACCAGGGAAACATGTAGTACTTGGTTTGACGCGTATCAAAAAGCGATTCAGGATTATGGAATTGAGAAGAAAGACGAATATAATATGGATGAATCTGGACATTCAATTGGGACAATGGAATCAACTCGAATTATTATCGATTCTACACTTCGTACAAAACATCAAGCACATCCAGGCCGTCAAGAGTGGATTTCAATGGTAGAGTGTATTTGTGCGGATGAATCCATTCTTCCACCACTCGGGATTTTTAAAGGTAAAAATGTCCTTCAAAATTGGATTCCGAAGGAAGTTCTTGGTAGCTGGTTCTTTTCAGCAAATACAAAGGGCTGGACAAGCAATCTTCATGGATTAGAATGGCTAAAACGCGTTTTCGAACCTGCAACTCGTGCAAAAGCAGGTGGCAAATATCGGCTTCTCATCTGCGATGGCCACGATTCTCATATTAGTGGAAGCTTTATAGCTCACTGCCTTCAAAATCGAATTGTACTTCTTATACTTCCTCCTCATACCTCGCATTTGCTTCAGCCACTTGATGTTGCGGTTTTCGGTCCATTGAAAAAAACGGCTCACCGCAGCACTTTCTGATTTGAATCAAGCTCAACTTGTACGAATACAAAAGATTGAATGGATGGAGGCATATATTAAAGCTCGAGCCGACGTATGCCATCATCAAAATATCGAATCGGCATGGCGGGGAGCTGGGTTACATCCATTTAATCCACAGAGAGTGTTCCGTACACTGGATCGAGAGTTTACCCCCGAAGTCGAAATATCTAAAGAACCAACCCAATTTGATATTTTTAACCAAGTCTTCGTCAATAGCTCACCCCCGGATGTAGCAATCTTACAAACAGCAAATAACCTTTTAAATTCAACAATTGAAAATGATACGACTCTTTCAACCCCGGTTCGTCAATACATTCGAAAATTGACGATTGGGAGTGAGCAACTTCGAGCTCAAAGTATTGTTCATCAACACGATGCGAATAATTTACGAGCTATTATGAAGAAACGTACGATACATAAGAAAGGAAAGAGACTAGTTTTGAAGGGTCATTTTCATATTTCTACGCAAGAATTATGTGATGCAGTAGTGGAAGTCGAAAAAGCTACTAAGGTACAGACAATGAAAAAAGGAAAAGGGAAAGGGAAAGTAATTGAATATGAAACTGAAACTGAAGAGGATATTGGAGAAGAAGTTGAAGATGAATCTGAAAGTGATACTGGAGATTGTATTATAGTTGATTGTTGAGTAACTGAGATTTTAATAGAGTGGTTCCCCGCAATTAGACGCATTACGCCATTAGACGCATTACGCCATGACTTACGTTATTGAACGCCTTTGAGAGAAGAATTCTCTTTCAACTGTTCGCTGATGAAGTGTCTTTCCATCTAATTGCCTAGCCTCGCCAGCCTCTCTTCACTTCTTGATAAACAGATTTCATCATCTCATTCCGATTCTATGCCAGCTTCGACATCGGATGACAGTGACCAGATGTTCCTTAAAGCTGCACAAGCGCATGATGTATAATACTTTTGTCAATGCCATTTCTGCTGGCAGATGAGAACCAATGAAGCTTTCATGGAATTTGAATGCTTGTAAAGTTGAGTTCCTCTTCCCAAAGCTGATTTCGATCGTCAAGACGAACTTTTGGGGTGTGGTGGAAATCAATGTTTCGCTGTCTAGGTGCACATACTAGAAACATAACTCAGTGGGAAGGCACGATACAGATGTGATTGTACCTCAGCTTTGGTTCTTATCCTCTGAAGAGACCATTGATTGCTATTCATAAATTGACTCAACATTTCATCATCAGACATAGTCTCGTATCTTCAATCACGTCAAGTTAACTTTGCCTCACAAAGACATCTCTTCTTCACCATGAATTTTCAGGCGCACAGCGACGACTTACCAATGCGAAGACCGATGCTAAAGCTGAAGCATTATTCCACGTTCTTCTGGGAGGAAGGAAGTATTGAGCAGAGAGGATTTACGAAGGAAAAGATGTTATCACTCCAAGTCATTGAAGCGGTGACGAAAAAAAGCCGCCAGGCTGTTTGGAATAGGCTCGTTCTGATCAACTTCTGCATATATGTACGAGCACTGACTAGAATTCAGATTTGGGGACACCGAGTACGATGTTACAAGGCGCCGGTTTGACTTTAAATATATCTTTTGCGGACAAGATAGCCGATACCCATACACACCGACGAACAGACGGAAAAGCCGACCGAGGCATATTTCTCAGTGGGGAAGCTGTAGATGAGTCTGAAGCTAGAATGAGGAGTAAAAGCAAGTTGACATGCGGTTAGTGTGGGCTGGATCCCTCGGTTTCCATGCATCACAGCGAAAAATCATGGGCCAATCTTTCTGCGTTGCTGAAGCACCAACATTCTGGGTTCCACTCCCCCAAACCGAGAAACGTATATGATACCGTTCATAGTCACGTAGTCGAGTAAGACTTAACATTCAATAATACTGATCGCCATCATGAGACTACAGACACGGTACCGCAACAGCCCGTCAATTTCAAGAACACAGATTTGTCCAGTAACGGAGGATCAGAAGACGGAACAGGCAAGAGAAACCTCGAGTTACCAAAACAAAGAAAACACCACGACACGTGGTGCACATGGCTCAGAGATCCAAAGCGCTCGAATGAGGTTGAACGGCCAATTTTCAGCTTCTCAGAAGTAATCACTAATCGATATTTGGAACAAAATCAAATACCACGAGTAAAGAATGATAAATGTGTTAGCCCTGTGCCGCCTGGTTTTGCTTCTTTAAAATGTCTCGCGGAGATTGTATCGGATCACAACTTTTCATCATCACCTGAGCAGGGCATCAAAACTCCTTACCCTGTTCACGAGCTTGATGAGATTTTAATTGGGAATTCTGCACCTAGGCCAATGATTGGCAGATTCATTGAGCCTCAGTCAAACTTGATAGACTTCGAAGTCACAACAACTGAAACTCGATCGACAGAAGACTGGCGAGATCCTTGGATGCTCTTCGGAGAGCCTGGCAGTATGCTATTAGACGGTCGGTAAGGGAATTTTGATATTGATGTTATTTCTTACTTCAATTGCGTCGGAGCATTGTGATTATAGACCTGATGGAATTGTTCAGTATTGAAGAAGGTTATATATTATTATATGTCAATATCAATTTACATAGACGGCGTTTCATATGGTAACATAAATAAGAGAAATTTTACAATACTATTTGTCTTCTCCTAACCTCGCATTACAAGTCCTTCAGTGGAGCTTCGCCCTTACCATCGCCATACTTTCTAACAGGTTCCTTCCCAGAAAGACTATCCTCTTTGAAAACTGCAACCTCATCACTGCTCATATGCTTTGCCACTTGATCTGCCTGCCATTTCTTGAATGAAAAGCCTACACCCTCATGGCTGTAGTCTTTATCATTGGCTTGATCCTTGTGATACTTGACTCGTATGAAATCGCTATGAACGGTTTCAGGATCGAGAGACAAAGTCACGAGTGCATTTATTGTGGCGGTTTTTGGAATAATTTTAAAGGTCCATGACTATCCAATTGTTAGAATTTGTTGAGACGTATGTCAAGCTATCTAGCAATGATTCTCAAATACCTGTTCATTCTTGAATTGGATCACCTCATCATCACTTCTTACAACCTCATAACCCTCGTTCTTACTATCCTTGAACAACTTTGGTAGCGCAAACCACTGTCCAGCCATCTTGTACCGATCATTGGCATACACAAACTGGTCGTCATATACACAATCAGGTGTGTACCGTTTGACACGCTCAATGGTAGGTTCGCAGCCATACAGAGCAATTATATCGTCAACGAGTGCTTGGCGAGCAGGAGACAGAGGGATAGATTTGGAAGGGTTGGGGTGCCAATCCTCAGTCGAAGAGGTTTGGCGAACTTCAAAGTTCTCTCCGGGGGCTGTTGCGGTTGCCATGACTGTACGTGTGAGTATGAGTGATGGGAAATTTCGAGTACTGTTCGAATGAGAGTTCTAGAAGTGAGTACTAAAAGTAGATAATTGTCTAAGAATAGAGAAAAGATATTGCAAGTACGAGTAGTGTTCTTATAGACATTCTGGACGACAGCTACGTATACGAAACGCATGTAACGCCACCACTAGCTATGCATACTCGTGTTTAATGATGTCAACGTGAAGGAGTCGAACAAATGACATATTGACAGTTCTTTACCCGTGTCTTACGCAAACATAAAGATTCAGTCATCGAGATGTCCATGTGCGCTAGGCCGCATCTCAAGAGTCATTCAGATTGAATATTCGTGGAATCAGCGGAATCCCTCAATTCTAGAAGCTCGAAGTGTTGACGTAGTCCATTACTTGGGATGTGGGGTAATAAGCTCGGGGAAGTGGCGTTCGCTTAGACTTTCAGGTCTGATCGTCTATGATATGCTGAACATTTGATAGATATGAATATGACGGACTGATGAATTCGATTCATAAGATCCTACAAAGACTTATTTAATATGGCTTTGTTTCATATACAACGACTTATCTGTGGAAATCCAAACATCAACGGCATCTACGCAAATTTAAGCGCCACACAATTGTGAAATTCGAATTCGAACTCGGATTTAAATGAATTGCGATGCTCGATTCGTCCGTTTCACGCCCCCTCATATCCTTGAATCATGATTTTATTTTCGTCCTCCCATGAAATCGTGTTGTCTTCCAAGTGGAGTCGCGTCCAACAATATATGTGTAATCAGTGATCAATTTGGTCCTCTCGCACAGGTACTGTATGTTAAAGCTTCATTTCCTCCCTTTCAGCGCAAGCCCAGGCCATGCACTCCTATCTTTACCTTTATTTTTATTTATTTTTAAAAAAAAAGAAACTTCATTCTCTTCTTTAATAGTATTCATCCCCGCCCTCTTCTGTTGTAATCCGAAGTCGTGATTCCATTCTGCCTCAAAAGGGCTGAGCTGTTCGTAGCACGAACTGATACTCCTCTTAAATTCTTCCGCCTGCTAATCGGCGCACATGACAAAAGTGCAAGCGTTATGTCTCGAGAGCTGAGATGGATAAGAGACGATGCAAGATCATCGGCCAGGATGCAGCAGTTTGGATAGCTCGCTTTGCGATCCGAATAGAGCATGAAGTAGTAAATAGTGAGGCTTTGCGATATTTGAAAAGGTAGGAGAGCATAATGGGACTGGTGATTCATGTAAAGGTACAATCTTTCGTGAGATTGGTCATGGAGAAGTCGTGGAGGGTCGTGTTGGGTATATTTGTAAGCGAAGATGAACTGTGTCTCTAGCAAGGAGATCGTGACATGCGCCTCGAGCCATTTGGCTTGATCAATTGTCCTTCAAGAAATTTGTTAGCAAATATTTGGATTCAGTGTGCAATTAGTAGAGAGTGCTCTCTCGACATGATAATTGAGGAACGAAAGGGGTACGTGAGCTTATAAATCGAACTTCCTTGCTTGTTAAAGTAGATTTCGATCATGAACAATTGGTAAATGAATAATGAGGGAAGGTGATGTTTTATGCCATTTGAATTATGATCCTATCATAAAATACCATCAACTCTTTGTTTCGAAACCACGCCACGCACACCCATCAGACTCAGCTGGTCCAATTTCAGAAGTGGAAGACGAGAGAAATGATCAAAAACCTCACGCTGACCATCATTCCTGGAAATGCAATCAAACTTCATATGCCAATTGTACGACTATGGTTCATACTTTGAACACTTTGATACCTTCGATTCTTATGTCCTTCCATCTTCTGCTACAGCGACAGCTACATCTAAGCAGATGGCAGTATTATCTGTGAGACCTCGTGGATGATTATCGAGCCCAGGCGCACATGAGGTATACTAAAGAGAGTACGCACGTCGCTTTTTTCTTTTAGCCTGATCAACACATAAAATTATGAGATTTAATTGGAACTGGTAGATTCAATGTTCGAGTTAAACAAGCGATCTCTTCCCGTCCCTAAACGTATGTATGTTGTCAACAGATGATGTGCCATTTTGACAATGGACTTAATTAGCTCCACAGCACTCAAGCACTTCAACTTGACTGGAGCGGAAAGATTAGATTTGCAAAGATTTTACATTTGAAAAGAGTAATCAACTATGATTGCATTTCATACAGGCTGTGTGAATACACACTTAATGTATATTATGTATACTGTCCACTAGAACAGACGGGATATCGTCATTCTGGCTTGTATTCATATCCAACTGTATTGACTGATGGAGTTCCGTACACAGTCATAGTAAGAATTGATGCATCAACGTGAGAATCTATTTCCGTGGAGAAGTTTGGGGAATCTCTGGGTGGGCATTGGGTAATCATTGCTGGATGTATCATTCCTTGTAAAGTTCTATCCCGATCGGTTTCGGAGGTGTTCAAAACACTTTGTCTGACGGGAAATAGAATTGATGTTTTTGTATAATTATCGCCTTCTCATGAAGCAGCCCTACGATATAATTAGATTCTCTAGCATCGCTTCTAGAATTTCCGAACGAAGTACTCGATTGACGCTAGAACTAAGTAGAATCTTAGCATAGCAAGAAGTCGAGTACAGAGTTCCCGAATTATCAAGCTATTTTATTTCGAGTACGAATACGACATGATGGAAAACCCCCCGATGTGGATAACCTGTACTTTAGTTTGTGACTACCAGGATACCAAGGGGTCTCTGAAACTTTGCGCAGATTCCGAGAATTGATTTGATTCTAGAGCAGAACTCGGGATTTGAAAATCCAAGTGTCTCCGGTATGACCTGATCTTCTTACGATTGCGGGATAGGTAAATCATAGGTATGCATTAGATAGTTTCATCTACTTTCTGGCTGTTAAAACGAACCGCTTTCTAGAATTTTTGGTAATTAGAAAAACAAATCCAACGCCTTCTCGTGGCACCACAGGGTGAAAGATATAATAAGATCCAAGCTGTATATTTATTTATTTATCTATCTATCTATCTACTAGACAGGTACGCAGGTACACATGGGATAGTGTACATACTACGTACATACATACTAACTTCGAACCATCTCGAACAACCTCAAGGCGCACAAAGAGAATGCACCGGAGTCATACTATACCGGAATCATACTATACCGGTACTTGTTTGATAAAAACAATCATTGTTAGCCGAGAGGAACTATCTTGAAATTACTCCAAGACGTCGTAAATATATTAAATCTTCGTTGATTTCCATTAACTGACCAATCATAAACTGCTTATTCCAAATAATTATCGATCGCGGAAAGATTTAATCCAATTCCCGTTACGTCGAGAATTATTAATTACAGTATTACACTATTAACTTAATTTAGTCAGGGTTCTCTCTTACTACAGAGTACACTTTATACTTTCCACCCCTCGGTAAGATTTTATACAAACTCCAGTCCAATGCATACATAATAATCTATCATCCCGTCGCTCTATCCTCTTTTTATTCTTCCAAATAAATTCACCCTTCTCTCAATATTCTTCTCGCTCGTCGTATTTCCTGGTTCAAAGGAAATTTCACGAGGGTTATTGCTCCCAATTCAATTCTTTGAATCCATTGTCAATCCATCAATCGAACAAGCAAACAATCATGGAAGCCGTACTGAAAGGTCGGGCAATGTGCCCATTTCTTCAAAAGACGTCGCCCGCAACCCTCCGATCCCTCTCGACCTCTACTCGTCCCCATGCCTCCCCAGGTGGGGGAAGTATGTCCAACCTCCAGACCATTGCGGGTCGATGTCCAGTCATGGGCAAAGCTCTCGCCGTTCAAACCGCAAAGGCCGGAAAGGTTGGATTTGGTGGCGTGACTGCTATGAAGGCCATTCGAGCCTTTTCCGGAAAAGTTAGCACAGGAAAGGCAAAACTTCATACTAGTAGATCCCATGAAGCGAGGGCTGTCGAGGATACTGTGTTTGGTCGTGAAAATGGTATGTGTTTTCTTGTCCGATCCGCCCCCCATTGTTCATATCGAGTCATCATCTAACGTAAGATGAACAGTGCCATTTCAACACATCAAGCAAACGCGCCCACCAACTCAAGCTACTCGCC